TGATTGGTTCGCGGGCAGTTTAATAGACCAACACGTGACAGAGGTTTGCGGTCAAAGTGGAGACAAGTGCTGCTTTAGTACTGACATTGATTGTCTTATATCTGGACGGTTTTTATAGTGGGGGTGGTGGGAGGAGGAGGGGGGGGCGAGAGCGACGACGGTAGACGTGCGCTCTATCTAATCAGTGGTAGCACAACTAATTTTTAGAATAAACCGTGTTATCCAGAAGTCAAACCTACTAGATTATTCTTGCATGAGGGCAATCTGGATATAGTAGGTTTAAAAACAGAAGGCTACAGCCGCACATGTAGAAGGAATGAATCAGGAACCTAATAAGACGAATGAACTTACTTATTCGTGACAACATTCAACATGGCCGATTCAGACTGCTCCACATTACAGATTCACAACAACAACAACAACACCACATCCCATACCGCTTACGGAGGTTACGACAGAGTCAAACAACAATAGAATGTACCTGGCTAACCCAAGAGATTAACTATATAGCGTTGCTGAGCAGAACGTACTGACCTAGAAACCAAAGGAGAGCATTTTTGTCTCAGATTTGGCTCCCAGCTCCATATCGGATGACATTACGGCCATATACGAACAGACACATTGCATTGATGCAAACGAACTCGCCGTTGGCCCAGTTTTCACCCGTTTTACACAAACCACTGCCTACTATAACAGCAGGCTGAATAATCGGATTTATGACGTGGATGGGCAGGGCTGGCGAAAGCACGGAGTGTTTTCAAAAAACACCCTCGTGTCATTCACACTGACTTTGGTTTATGATATGCGATATGAAGCTTGAATCAATCGAAGAAGCTGAGGTTGCATGCCAACATGCAACACGATCGACTACAATTAATTCCAATTTACAAAGTCAAATACGGACAGACAGAAAGCCCAAAAAAATTGACGAGCGTGTGTTGATGGTAGTTAGTAAGGTATGAGGGTTCTGCGAAACGAGAATAGCCAATCAGGCTGCCTCCACCCTTGAGAAAAGCTACGTTAAAACGTGCTTATTTCCGCACCACGGTATAAGCGAAGGCGATCGATGATAATAACTGCGAAGGTTTTGAAGGCAGTGCCTAGGTTGCGCATCTTACGACCAATCTCAAACATCGATCTCCCCATATTCTATAAGATAGGCGAAGCAAAAGTGTGACCAAAGTTTGTGAGCACGGCCTCTTGTTCCACAATTGGATTTCGAAGGCCTTCTAACCAGCCGACTGTTACTGACGAACAATAATTAGATCACCATTCGAATGTAGTCGCTGTCGGAAACTTTATCTCCTATCCGCTTCACATTTCGGAACGAATACATAGGGAAAGGGCTGCGGTCGCAGTTACATCGGAGCGGGCAGGTGAGATTGCACTTGCCCACTTAACAGTTGGGTAAAATGCTAATTTCGCAGGAGTGCATTGTCTTTTAGTGACACTATCATCACACTTTGGCTACCCCAAAATGTCTATATCATAAGACGGAATCTCTAGAAGGTGCGGCAGTCC